CCAACGTCCCCTCAGGCCCTCCCCGGGCCTACCTTTCCACAGGGTGAGGGCCAGCAGCTGGTGCAGCCGTGGGTGACCTAGCTTCCCGGAGCCCCCGCTGGACCATTTCAGGGCTCTAGACACGAATGCCACGCGCTCTGGAGAGTTAGGGTCCATCAGGCTGAACACTTTGGCCAGGTTCTCTGAAACGGCACAGAGACCGTCACCGAGGAGCACAGGCTAACTCGGCTCAGGGCTCAGGGCCACGGGCTTGCAAAACCGAGATTAAAACAATGGGATCACGTGAAGAGGAGGCAGAGCCTGCTTGCGGGTGGGGGCCTGTGTGTCCCGGGGGCTTGAGGGCTGCACAGGGCCACTCCACAGACCGTGCTGGTGCCACGAGGCCAGGAACCACGAGGCCAGGGACGGACAGAAACCTCCCTGGCCTGGTAGCTCAGCCGAGTGGGAAGCCGGGCAGGAAGGTGGCTGTGGCGGGGATGGGCCCCGGGGAGCACACTGGGGTAACCCGCGTCCCACGCCCGCGGCCGCCTCCTCGGGCCCCTCGCGCCTGTGGGCCTCACACGAGCAGAGGCTGAGGACTTCCTCTCCTCCCAGCCGGGCAGCTCCCAGGAAGGGCTCTGCTGCCCACATGCTGAGACGCCATCACCAGAGTGCAGAGAGGTCAGGCGCCCTCGGACGGCTTGGGCGGCCCCCGTGTGGGGAGGAGCAGCGCCAGCCAGGCTCTACCGCCACTCCTGCACGTTCCAGGACTCGGCAGGAGCCGCCTCGGCTGCAGAACCAACCCCAGAGCACAGGAGACCCTGAGACGCAGACCAGGAACCCAGCACGGAGACTCGGGGCGGTGCTGGCAGAGGCGTCCGCCAGGGGTGCTCACCTAGCAGATCCTCGGCCACGGCCACCTCCGCCTTCTCCAGAGCCTCCAGGACCAGCATGGACAGGTCTGCCGCACTGTTTTGCTACAGAACACAGAGATATGCAAAGTCACTCGCCAGGAACGAGCGCTGGCCCACCCGGAGCAGGCAGGTCCGCACTAGGCGACCACTGCGGATCTCTAGACAGGAGCTGGGGCCCGACTCTTCTCTCTGAGCGCAGGGGGACCCATCCTGAGCACCCTCACTGGGCAACACAGCTGAATGCCCCAGGAGCAATCAGAAAAGGACCGGCTGTTCTTGCCCCCTGAGAGCACACAGCCTGGCTGCAGGCGGCAGGGATGCCCTGGGGGTGGCGTGTGTACGCGGGGCATACGGGGACCCTCGCTCCCTGCAGCCATGTGCCCCAAGCCCTGCCACGCTGCCTGGCGTGGCAGCCCCCTCAGCAGGACGCGTGGAGCGGGAGGGAGGCCGTACCTGGCCATGGCTGAAGAACAGCAGCGCTCCTGAGTACATGAGCTCCCGCGCCTCCACATGCTTACTCTGGGACATGTACCTGCAGAACGAGAAGACATGAGCACACACGACCGCAGACACCGCGGGTGACACAGCTCGTCACTTGCACGGGCTCTGTGGGTCCTGGGCCTGAGTGCCTGCGGCGCGAGGAAGCAGGCCTCCTCTCATGCTCAGGCAGCCCTGAGACGGGACACAGCCCTTCCCGCACTGCCCACCCTGCTCGAGGACAGAGGCTGCATGGCCCCGCTGGGCGCTTAGGCCCCTGCCAGCAGGGAGCCCGGGCCCGGGGGCACCACGGACCCCCGGATGACTCGGGGTCTGGTCGGTGCCCAAACAGGCCTGAGCCGAAAAGCGGCCCCTCACCGAGCAGCCCCTGGGCTTGGCAGAAGGGGCGGGGAGAGGGGCTGCAGCGGGGCTGGAGCAGAGCCGTCAACGTCCACCTAAGAGCCGAGGGGCCGTCAGGCACACGGGGGCCAGGGCTGGAGGCTTCCCGACTGCGGTCCTGTTGGGGACATCTGTAACTGAGCCTTCTCCTGCAGAGTCCATCACAGGACCAGCGTCCCTGAACCCCCAAAGGCGCGCCTCTCTGCCGCCGCACGCTGCATGCTTCCTTCCCATGGAGGGATGGTGTGGGGGACGCTGTCACCCTTGTCCCGCGTCACTTCCCCACTTGGGTGAACTTCTCGGAAGGCTCAGGGAGTGGACGCGAAGGTGTCCTGAGCCACACAGGACAGAGCAGAGTGGCAAGGAGCCTGGCCGGCAGCTACGCCTGGAACAGCGGAAGGCACAGAGGAGCGCAGGTGTGGATACCATGGATGGTGGCTATGGATATGTGTCAACCCAGGCACAGGGACCCACATGGCATTTCAGTGGCTGTATAATATCTTCATTATCTCCTTATCAAAAAATATAATCACTCAACTAAGCTGTGTTTAAAAACAAATCAAGTGAAAGAAAAAGTATCAAATAAGCAGCAGTGCAGGTGACACAGACACAGGCCTGGAACACGTTGGCTGTTTAACCATACAAGAGGAAAAGGCACCACACCTGAGACGCCACCCCGCGATCGGGGACCCTCCCCCAAGCCTACACCCAGCCCCATCAAGAGATCCCACCTGGCTGCATACTGGGGGGTCTCAGAGGTAAGAAGACACAGCCTTGTCAGCTACAGGTCGCCAGCAAGTGCCAGGCTGGTGACTTTCTCTCTCACAGCGTTGATGAAGGCCCACCCCATGCTACCTAGCACCTTGGCGGAGCGGCTTCTTTGGGGCCAGGCCTTAGCTCTAATCCTGCAGTGCCATCACCCAGTGTGCAGAGGATGCCAGGAGCTGCCTGCTTCTGAGCTGTGCTGGGCCTGTGCTCAGCACCGACAGGTCAACGGACACATGGGTGCGGCTGCACACCGCAGACACTACGGACACATGGGTGCGGTAGACACACACCAGCATGCACTCAGCCCTGTGATCACTGCCCAGGTTGTTTCTGCACATGCAGGCTACAGAATTCTAGACTCTTCTGAGCACAGTAGAGAGCAGCTCTCAGGAAACCAGAGCGAGGAACAAAACTCTGAAGGCAAGCACCTAAGACTCCTAGGATGGGCACCTGTGGTCACGGCCACAGCTCTCGGCTGCGGGGGACACAGCGCCCGGCAGCCCGTGGCCTTGCGCCGCTGCCTTCTCCCCGGCAGCGGGAGCTCCTGTGAGGGGGAGGACAGGGTTGTGGGGGGGACTCTACACACAGCACCAGAATCTCATCAGGCATCCCCCACCTAGCTCAAGTCACCCGTCTCCAGCCCAAGGGAGGCTGGTGAAAAGCCAGCCGTCCAAGGCAACCATGAAGACGAAAGTGCAGGGAAGAATCAGGAGCTGAGGAGGATTTCTGTTTTGGGGGACAAAGCAGAGCCTGCGCCCTGAGAGGCATGGAGTCACAGCAGCCAGCACAGAGCCTGGGCTTCTCCTAGCCTCCGCCTTGTCCTCCCCACAGTACACTGCTGGGCGCCTTGGGTGGACACCTAAGCACCTTTACCCCTGGAACCAGTCTACGAAGGAGGAAGGACATTCCGGGTGGGTGTGTACTGTGCTGTCCTGTCTGCAGCCAAGAGGACCACGGCATCTCATTTATCCTCGGAGCAGTGTGTCCATGCAAATAATCTAGTCTGTTTTGCTCTGATTTTAGAAAAAAACAAACCAAGCCCCCCCCAGAACTGGAAGTCTTACAACGAATGATAAGGACCGCGTGGGTGTTGAATGAAGGGCTCCGGGTGACTCTCTGCCCCCCACGCTCTGAGTGCCTCCGCCAGGATGCGCGGAGGATGGAGTGCGGTGCTGGACACCACAGGCCTGGGAAGACTCCCAGTAAGCCCCGAGTTGCTGGGGAGGCTAGGCACACCCGCTGGGACAGGGCCGGGCCCCGTCTGCCTTGGAAGAGCCACTCTGAGAGTGGGACCAGAGCCTGTGGGGCCTGACTGCCTGCTGCCACCGGCTCCTTAGGAAGAAGCCCACCGTGGGCACGGGGCCAGGCATGTACAATGCGTGCTGTCAGTCTCTGGAGGCCTTCGGGCTGGATGTTGTGTGTCATGGCCTCTTGGGCTGGGTTCTCAATCGCATCAAGTTTCCAGAAGCAATCTGAAAATGCTGCAGCCAACATGGAGGCCCCTTGAGGCCAGGAGAGTGGCACCAAAGCCACTCTGGCAAATCTATTGCCAAAGTCACGGGGATTTGCCAGTATCTTCACGGATACTGATAACCTCCAGGCGGGAAAGCTGACTCCCTCTATGACGTGGCAGAGAGATCTGGACAATCAGGTTGGCCACCAACACCAGCTCCAGGACAGGACAAAGGCTCTCGCATGCCCGCCTCTGCCCAACTTGTGCGGGCACACGCAGGGACCGGCCTCTACACCTCCAGTTCCCTCCCCCTGCTCCACCTTCAGCTGTGTGGCGTGTGGGTGAGTCTACAGAGCCAGATGATGCACACCACGGCACCCCCGGCAGTGCCCACGGACAAGAGACACCGGAACGGGTGGCCCTAAGTCGACGAGCTGCGTGAACTCAACAGCTGCAGAGAGAGTTCACGCGGGGATTCCACCACAAAACCCCACCTAAGACGTGACTTCATCTTAGACAGACAGTGACCCGTGGCTGCTGGAAGGGTCAAGGAAGACCGTGACGATGACGAGGATGATGACGGTGGTGTTGGTGACGATGACAAGGGTGGTGGGAACATCCAGGGGGAGGGATACGTTCTGTGTCTGGATGGGCGAAAGTTCATGGCACGTTCAGGTCACAGCTCAGCAAACTACATTTTACGTGAATATTTACATGCAAATGTATATACCGATTAACAGAGAGACATTAAAAAGTCCAGTTCACCTCGGGGACGGCGACTTCTCCAGAAGATGCACCCTGGCATGTGCCCAAGCCGAGCTGGACCCTGCACAGAGCCCAAAGGAAGGACGAGGGCAGTGGGACTCCCAGGTGGTAACAACAGCGGTCCCGACTCAATCTCCTTCATCCCAAGGAGGTTCGACAACGTGTCCTGGTCCTGGGTGTGAGCCCAGGTCTCCTGTGCTCAGCTTCACAGCCCTCCCCGCAGGGCAGCGCCCCGCACAGGTCTCTCCCCAGCAGTGCCCAGGAGCTTGGCACACGACCTTCGTGCATGTGGACACCAGCACGCACAGCTCTCAGACACATGACCCAGGAGGCACTGAGGATGCAGAACCTGTCCGTTGCCCACTTCACCAAGAAACACACCTGGGCCGAGGCCCTCGGCACTCAGAGGCCAAATGCACACCCGCAGAGCTGGTTCAGAGATGAGGAGCACCACCTTCGCTTTGGGAAGACCTGCTTCTGCTGATTGGTCAGCAGCTGATTGGTCGGCAGGCCGTCGTTTACACATGGGCCCCCAAGACAGTGGGCTCCAGGGCAGCCCTGAGCCCCGCAGAAACTCCCGTCACCGGCCTGAGACAGGCTGAGCCAGCGATGGGCCATGGCTGTGTAGTCGGGCACCTGCCAGGACCTTGGCTTGGTCCCTGAGAACCAGGGCTGGAGGTGGTCACAGCCTGGCCGTCTGGGAGTGGCCGACAGGACGACGTGACAAGTGCTCAAAGCCACCACGATAAATACCTCACACAAGAACCTGTTTCCGCCAGAGGTAAAAACCAAACAGCCTCTGACTACAGGGAAGAGTCAATCTCTTTAAAGCAATTAAACACCCAAGTTTCAGAAAACAAAGGCACTCACAGAGTGATGAGCCCAGATGCAGCCTGATGGGCTTGTAACTACAGACAGTCAGAGGCTAGGAGAGAAGGTTCTGGAAACAAGGCTGCCCTGCAGGCGACAGTGGGCCCGGCAGGGACCAGCCTCTCCCCGTGAGTCCAGTCAGGGCTCCCAAAGCCACAACCCAAGGCCCGGCTATGCCGGAGGGTCTCTGCGGACAGCACAGAAACCTCCCAAGATGAAGAGGCTTGGGCCTCTCCAGACCTGCCAAGGTGGCTGCGGCTGAGAACCTCAGGGCTAAACACTCCTTCCTTTCCTACACCAGCAAGTGGACAATGAGGGTGTGGCCCCATTATGGGGCCGGAGGTGGTCCCCCCACCCTCACTGGAGATCCACACCCATCAGGCCCTGGCCTCCCAGCTCCACTCGGGGCAATGGTGCCCAAGCTCTGCCCAAACCCAACAGAGTGTATTCAGTCTGCATGTAAGCTAATGGACCACAACCAAGGCACGAGCCTCCCCAGAGTTCTCAACATAACAGTTCAACTAGCTATGCAGAGACTCGGCAACCGAGGCCTCACAGGGCTGCTGGGGCAGAGAAACTGCTCTGCCGGACACTGGACAATATCATCAGGCCTCACAGGACTGCTGGGGCAGGAGAACCGCTCCGCGTGGCGCCGAGTGAGCCCAACACGCTGGGGACTCCGGGTGACGCCATGTCCGGGCAGGTCAGCCCATCTGGAGGGGATGCTGACGGGGGAAAGGCTGGCGTGTTGGGGGCAGGCGGCACACGGGGCCCCCTGCACTTTCTGCTCAGCTGGGCTGTGACCCTCAAACCGTGCTTTTAAAAGGTCTTTTAAAAAACAAAGCCAGGCCTCAGTTGTGTAAAGACCACACCAACCGCCCTTAAATCTATCAAAGCACTCACTGTCGCGTGGCGGTCAGGAACAGCAGGTTGGCCACTGACCAGACAAACCCTCCCGAGTTACGTGTAAAAGGCGTTCAACGTCTAGCGAACGGCCACGTGTCCTCTGGCCTGACCCCAAGGCTCACAGAAGATGTGTGACTGACAGGACGCCACCTCCCCCATCCGCAGGAGGACGGAGCACACACAGCAGGGCCTGTCACCGCAGAGATGGCAGCCCAAAGAAAAGCAGCACGCCCCGCTAGCAGCGCGCGGAAAGACGACGCGTCTTCGGCCCGATGTCCCCACGCGTCCTGCAGGTGCAGCGGAGCAGCCCAGGTCCCCGGGACGAGCGCTCGGGCACCGGCCGCACCGGCGCGACACCAGCCCGGCCAGGTCCACGGACGAAGGCGACTTGGCAGCGAGACGCCAGCGGGCGCGCAGGGCGGCG